GTATTATGTCGGGGGATGTGATGCTGGTGGTGAACAACCTGGGAATGGTTTGGCTAGGGGTGCTGGACTTGGTGGTGTGTGAGCGTGTTGCGTGTGTCTTGGGTGCGTGGAGAGTGAGGGTTGTGTCGGCCGAGCTGGAATAACGACGAGCCTGGGGCGAGTCTTGCCATGTGGTGCTACCTGGGCACTTGGATATGGAATACATGTGGCGGGTAAATGGTAATTGGAGGTGGCCTTGGGTGTGAACCTCGGAGAGGTGGAGCCCGGGGTGGAGGTGCTGTGGTAGCATGGTAAATGGAAACCCTGATGAAGACATTCTGGCTTGGTCACCCCTAAGGACTTACTAGTACTCAGATTCACCGGGAATCCTTTACATCCCACTCGCCCTATATAGTGCGGGACGGTCGGACTGCTTGGTAGAGCGATGCCACTACTGCTAGGCGAACGTGTGCAAGGAGGTACGAGGCGCGTGGTTTTTCCCCCCACACCCTTCCGAGACTTCAGGAGGCCTTGTGGACCGGCTCTTGACATCCGATGGGCCCCGGCTCTGTCTACGACTCACAGTATCAGCCATCCCAGACTAGACTTGGGATGTTCCAGGGATGAGAGGTAGGGTGGCATCGTTCTAGGCTAGCAAGCGGCCAGAATCTGCCTAGATGGGGCACCGCCGAGGATGGCTATCTTGTGGGTATGTAAAACCTCTGCAGAGTGTATGGTTGATCGATCGATACATATGCCGACTTGTCGGCTATGGACCTTTTCGGGGTTTCGCTTAAACTAGATAGGAGATGAGTCCTTCTATTCTCCCTCCAGGGTATGGGGTATTTTCCGATCGTGAGCCTTGGGGGCTGCGGACCGTTGAGACAAGGCCGAGAGGGAGTTGGCCTGTCGACCTGAGTGTGTGAGATGAGATAAGGTGTGGTGGTGTGGAGATGGTTTGGGATGGATGGTTGGTGGATGGATATGGATGGATGTGGATGTGTGTGGCTAGGAATGTGTTAAAAACTGGACATTATTATTACATTACTACTGCTACTTACTTCTCATGCGCTAAGGATGCAAACCATAGCCAAATGTTAGGATCGCCAAATCCTCTTGTTTGATCTTTTCCACTAAAGCTCATCGGTGCTGACCATGGCCTGCACACATCTGGCGGTGTGCAGATTTCCTGCTTCTCAGAGATGCTGACTATAGAAGGATTAGGAGGTCTCGTGCCTACGCTCAAGTTTGGTTCGGAGAAGGAATCTACGCTGCACTACGCCAACTCTGATGATGCCCACGAAGGAGGAGCCTTCACTCGATAGTCTTCCGCTAGATTAACTCTGTAATAGGTGTGTTCCCCAGTGATGTAATATCTTGTATTCTTATAATCTTACGATGTATGACTGTGATATCGACTGATATATGATAATATGATGGAATCAACTATCGATTTCATTATATTATTATAATTCATTCTGTGGATTTTCCCTTCGTGGAAAATTGAGGATGTTTCAACGTGCAAGCAGCAGTGCGGCGTCGTGACGCGGAAGGCCACGCAACGGCGTCAAGATCAGGGCGTGGTAGGTGGGTTAAGAGGCGGAGGGTGAGCGCTACAGTGTTGAGGTGAATCAGAGGGCGGGGGAAAATGCCACGATGACCGAGCGACACAGCCGTAGCCTCGCCTCGGCCCTGCGCGTGGCACAGTGGCTCGGTGCATCTTGGACAGCAAGAGGGCAAGGCGAGGTTAGAGGCATGTCACGACATCGTCCCAGCAGGCAGCACTGGATTGCAGAGAAAGGCCGCGACCAGCCCTGGGCCGAGCCTAGCGCCAGCTGTGCACGCGCGCAAGGAGACCATGCCTACGGGGCCAAATGGACGAAACGGTGACACACACGCTTATTAAAGTGGGCCAAAAACTACTTACTAACTCGATGAAGGCTCAACCAACTCCATGAACCTAAAGTCGATACTAACACCTAGCTGGCAAAGCAAACCTCATGTTCAGAGAGCGACCAAAGAGGGACATAGAGAGGTGCCAACGTGGGTTCGTCACGCTGAGTGTTGGTTCATGAACGGAGCGCCAACAACATTGTCACAGCGCGTTCTAAGAAAATTTAGAAAATTTTTAAGGAAACACGTGCCACTCAACACCACTACAACCTATACCATGCCCAAGTACTCATTTAGAGGCAACCAATAGTGCAAGAACATAAAGCTAGTGTTTAAACATTTTAGTTTAGAATTTAAATGCCAAAATAGCATTGTGTACTATCCTTTTTAGACTCAGAAAAGGGCAAGGGTTCAGTTAGAATTAAACAACCATTAGCACTTTTGTCATAATTTTTAAGAGGCCTAAACCCTATCAATTCCAACCAATAAGTATTTCACGTAAAAGTTCATACTTCATACTAATCCATAGGAGCAAAATGCTTAGGCACTATTTAACTATTTTGCTCAATATAATTCGTCAAAAATGACACTTTAACTACAATTTCAACTTCTTGCTGGTTCAACGAAAAGTTCTATTTAAATTTTGGATTCGATTTTTGAGCTCCAAAAACACTAGTTAACAATATTCACTTTCCAAAATTAAAGTTGCATTCTCATCTTCACTATTTGCTCATCATCCTTACATAAGCGCCATACACAAGCCATATTTTATTTTTATTTACAGAAATTGTTTTTCATATCAAACCATTAAAACTACTTATTTTATTCTTTTTGTTAGGATTTTCATTTCACGTGTGTTTTAAAATCTTAAAACTCGAAAACTTATTTTGCTAGATTCTTCAAGGCCTTAACCTAGGTGCTAAGCAAGCTCGTAACACCTGAGGTATTACAAAGTCCCTCACTGTTGTTCTACCACTCTTGATCGTCACCTAGTTGGTTATGGATTGCCCAGCTAACTCCAGCTAGGACTATGCCCTAGCCACTGCTAGCGCTACTGCGTCCAGCCAGCAGCAACAGCCGATGGCTAAAGGGGGCTTACAGCAAGGTTCGATGATGAGAACATCACTTCTTTGAATACACACATCATTTCTCAAGAATGACCAATTCCTAGAGTTCGAGTATATTAATTAAATCTCCAAGAACGTTCCTAAGTCCTCCTTTTTATTACTATGGTAATATATTGCTATTTAATGATATTATTGCTTGGAGAGAGGCATGGAGGCGGAAAAGACCAACATGGGTGTCAAAGCCAAGTTGGAGATCCAATCCATATTTAATTTGAGTCCACCTCAAATATGATGTGCATAAACTAACTACCATGGAGTGCATCATAGTTTTTTATAGTGCACTATACCTTAACTAACCCAAAAGGAGATTTGTAATCTAGAGTCAAACCTATGAACTACCATATGGTAATATGGGAAATATCAATGCGACACAAGACAAATACAATGCAGAAGCTTAAATTTAAGGTAAAGAGCAAATCAAGAGATACCAAACTCTCTAAGAAGATGATGTATTCCCTAGGTCCGAGTATCAAAATGCAACCACTAATCCATATTTGTTTAACCTGTGAAATAACATTTTTGTTAAAATGTTATCAAAATTCCTATAATAAACCGGTTGTCACTACCCATTGGTTATTACCGTGCTCTACCGTCATATCAGTATGGCCTCGCAAAAAAAAAGTTCTTTTGTGGTCCATGATGTTGTTATATAAAATATGAGTAATTCAAAACAAACACAATAAGGCAACTTGTTAAATAAGGTTGTGATTTAACTTGCTACAATTATAAGATGTTTTAACTTTTTCTACATACATATTTTTTGCCATGCACTCAGATATACATAGTAAAAACAATGTATCTATAAAAGTCAAAATATCTTATAATTAAAAATAGAGGGAGTATGAGAGATATTTCTAATAAATAAAGAAAAAGACTAAGTTGACATTAAATAAACCAATGAAAAGCTCTTTCATATAAAAGCTGGAACCAGTTTCCCTAACGTTAAAAATCACCTGCATGGCTCCGTTTGAGTCACCGACGGGCAGGCCCAGGTGGCCAACTGCAAAGGAGGCCCATGCCCATCCGTAAAAACTGCAAGGGCACATCTGCCATGAGAATTGAGTGACGAGGGCGTTAGTGCAATTATCCATGTGATTTGTTCGGCTTCTTTTATCCTGTTCCCTTCAATCTTCAGTCTCCATTCCGGACCCCGATTTCCCTGTCGTCAAATCTGCCCGCCTGCTACTTGGAGCAAGGAAAGGAATTCCTCTTATCTTAGCATAGAATTCTTGCGAAGCTTCCATACATGGCCACATTTGATCAGTTAACTGTTAATCCTAAGGTGATTTTCTGCAATCATGATGTGCTCCTTTGTTTGCGTTCTTCAAAATTGAAGCCACCGTTTTTCTTATGATTCTGAAACTGCGACTTGGAAACCAATATGTAGCGCCATTAGAACTCTTCAAGTCTTCAGTCATACTATGATTCCTAGAAATAAAGGTACAACTTTCATGTTTGTCCGTGTGTTGATGGCTGCATGCCATGTGTTTGATGAAATAGCTATATGAGATTTTCCATGGGGTATTATGACCGTATGGGGGAACTACTGAATGTCCATTGTATTTGATGAGGAATCCAGCAATGTTCCTAAAAACCATCATGTAAACATATTGTTATTTAAGTCTTTAGAATCCATCCTTTTATACCAAGTTGATATGGCATTCGAGGAACTAAGACTCTTGCCCATTACTTTCATCGAGTCCTATAGAGTTTAGAGTACAATAGAAACATTTTCCAGTCCACTTTGATGCTAGAACTTCATACTTTTAACTATATACATATCTTAGATGATGTCTACTTTATTTTCTAATACACAAGGGATGAAGATCAAAGTTGCACTGCTTACAAGAGAACACCCAATACCTCCCCTTCTTCTGGCATTCATCACAAACATAGGCCTTAGCCATGTCCAACTCAAGCACGTGTCTGTGTCTTGGATCATTCACTTGGCGAGGCAGCTTGTCTCCTTCCTTTCTGAGCGCTTCATCCAGTTCAGAAACTCTAGATTCCGTGAATGGGAATGCTGTTGCACCATAAGTTGATATTGCTGTCCTGCCATCTAACTTTACCATCCAAACCAAGTATCAGGAGTCCTGGGATGCCCTTGACAGTGAAGATTCTTGTAAGCTTTTGCCTGGCAGTGTCAGAATAAGGGATGGCAAGCCATGGCATTGAACTCATGCTTGCTTGGAATTCCCCCTTATTGCGGTCTATAGAAATGAAGATGACCTCGAAGCTTCCAGGTTTCAAGATTTTCAGCTCATTATACACCTCCTTGAGTTGTTTGGTGAAGACATGGCAATAGTGGGCACCAATGTGCTCCAAAATACAGGCTGACTGTCTTGCCAGTAAGGTCAGCTATAGGAATCTGAAAAAAACATTGTCATAGGAGAAATTGAACTGTAAAATTAAACCAAATTAACTAAATGGTCAGAATGAAAAATGCAAAGGAGACATGGATCATGGATTGACTTAGTATGGCAACACAATTACCAACAATTGCGTATCATCTATAGAAGTGTTTTTGGTTAATGATGCTCTACAATCTAATTATCTGCAAATTTGTCATGCCCCAATGGTGGCTACATAGTTTGCAAATGCATTATTGAGATATCACACCCTTTTCCCCATTTCTAGTTTTGTATTCTTTATATGATTACAGCTTTAAGCATAGCTAGATTAACAATATTTATTAATCTTCCATTCCCAATTTACATGGTATATATTCTTCTACAATAAAATTAGAGAGATATTAGGAAGAACAAGATTGTGCTTGCATATTAGCTTCTATTATGTGCACTATTGGGATCCTTGCTATAATGCCTTTCTTTTATTTGCAAGATTGTGTGTTGTTCTTGTTCCCTGTCATAGGACATACCTACTGACATAGTTTCTCAAGTCTGTATCTAGACTATTTTCTCACCTGAATCATGTCCTGTTTTTTTTATCAAACTTACAAATGTAGTATGTAGTATTAAACATATTTACTATTAACATAGGCATTTCATGAGTTTTTTTTTGTTCACCTTTATGTCATCTGCACTTATGACATAGTCTCTCTCCTTGCAGCCGAGAAGCTCCTGAAGCTTACCTCCTTTTCTCCTGGCATCATCCATGGCCTCCAGCTCCCTTCTCCTCTGTGCACTGAAGGGGTATGCATCTTCTCCATACTCGTCAACCAGCTTCACTGCATCCTCTTCAAATCCCACCCCACTGGATGGCGTTGCTGACAAAGGGATCAATGCTGGGATTGCTCAATGCCAAAGTGTGCACACAACTTCTGCCTTAAGCCAGTGTCAAATGGTAACGCAAGCCACTGCATGCCTTTGAAGTGATCCCAGAAGCTTGCGTCGTCACGGTCCAGTGATATGAAGATTATTTCAATATTCTTGCCAGTGTTCTGGAGCGCCGTGTAGATCTGGACAAGATTTGGGGTGAAGTTCCTGCATGGCCTGCACCAGTGAGCTGAGAAGAAGAGGCAGGTCGTCTTCCCTTCAATGGAGGACAGAGGTACTTCCTGTTTTTTCACAAACAAGAAATCATTTTTCTTATTAGAACTAGCACAGCAGAACTTTGGAGATTCGTGTGCTATGGCACTGTTTAGACTATAGTGTCGTTTAAATGAAACAGTAAGTCAGTAAGTGCTATTACTTTAGAAAAATCAGGTCAGATACGCATGTCTCAATGTTAAACTTAAGCAAATATTTCAGTTTACGCTTGAGGAAGGAGCGCTACAAAAAGTTCTCTAGAAAGATTCATATAAGTTCGATGCTTGTTCGTTGTAGTAAAGGCTTGCTCACAGAACATGTTTTGGAACAGTAAACACAAACTGGTGTAGGAACTAGTGACGCAGAGTAAACTGAAAAGCCAAGCTTTGTTTCTGGGCATATGATTAATTCTCATGAGAGCTAGAAAACACAATACATCATATATAGAAAACAGGAAAAAGATTGAAGTTCAGGGCTGCCAAACACTATATGATTCCTCTCACCTTTCCTTCATTGGAGAGATGAAACTGAACACCAGCCAACTGTGACATGTTGACCTCTTTCTTCACCTCTTCCCCTCCTCCCATCTCTCCCGTATGTCTGTGTGGCGCTAACAACGGAACAAGAAAAACTGCTGCTGCTTTGTGGTTTCGTTGTAAAAATCGATGCTTCGGGTTTTAAAGATTACCGTTGCTAGGATAGGATAGGAATGGCATCTTTGGCATGTTGTGTGTGCGATTGGTCGAGTAATATTCTAGCAATATGCTTTCCAGTATCCCAGCGGAGGGAGCAGCCGTGGTGGACACATCAAGGTTACTTTGGATATATGTAAGCCTAAGGATAAAGATGGACAGCGAGCTGAGGCGAGGCATGAGAAGGCAAGACAGAATGTGCTCATCCTCCAATCAGCATGGATGCCGATGATGCGGACCGCAAGCTGCTCCACCCCGTGCAAATTCCTTTCACCGCGGTTGCTATCATATATGCTGTGTGCTGCCGCAGAGTTGCCCTGCTATCTGCTAAGCAAATGCAATTTTTGTAGTTTGATTACACAGTATTACAGTCACAAGTCACTTGTGGAATTGCTGACATTTAATTCCAACGCCAACTTATCTGTGTGTGAAACTGTGGATGAATTGGCACCTGATCGCATATCTTGGGTTGGACGCTCTGGTCTGTTGTCAGATGGCAGGATGAGCAGACATCAGTATTCTGCCCAACGCTTCTATGTACTCCAGGCCTCCCAGCTGTTAAAGAGCACTAGTTGGCGTTGCACCTTCACCTTGTCAAAGCGTTTTGCGTCTGAAATTGGTGTGCGATCTCAGCTGAAACGACACCGGTGTGGCCTAGTCGCATTCTGTACAGACCACAGAGCACCACCGATCGCGGTCTCCACTCTCCGCACCGCGGCGCGGCCTGGCATCCTCTCGCGTGTCGTGGTCCAAGTCTAGCCGTTCCGCGCAGGCGGGCCACGAGAGGAGGGCTCGCGACGGGCCGGCTGTGCGATCGCGTATCGGGCCTACCCATGCCGCGCGCGCGACGGCGTAAGTGCTCCCTCCGACCCTCCCTCCCTGTCTCGTTCGCCCCGTCTCCGTCGTGCCCCGGTTCAGGTTGCCGGGAGAGAGCGAGCAGGTGTACCGGAAAATAGCATTCTTGTCCGTCAGCCTCAATGTAAGGTGTACCGGAAAATGAACCAGAGGTGCATGTGCTGTGACTCTGAGCATGGAGCAACTAGCAACGTGCTAACCATTGAAATTGAACCAAGCGCGAAGGCACGTGCCGTAGGCCGTAGCAGTCGAGCACCGACAGTGCCACTGCTGTCCCCACCACCTTTCTGCATTCAGCAGACATCGATGGGCACTCTACAACTTCTAAACACGCCATCGCCTGTCTCTCCAGGTTTCGCTGAGAACTTTTCAAAAAAGAAAAAAAGTTTCGGCGAGAGTGCAATGTGTGGCAACGATCGGCCACGCGATCTATTTGCCACGGCCACAGGCCTGGCAGTCACTCGAGTACCCGACGTCGCCAGGCATTGCTGCGTCCTGCGTGTATGCACCTTCTGCCAATTTTGCCTTCTTCAGCCTTTGACTCTACGTAGATGTGTTTTATACGGTAGCAAAAACAGTAGCAGCACCAGCACAAAAGGGGGGAAAAGGGCAGCACGGTACATGGCACACAAACAGGCTATACCTGATGGCAAAATAAAACAAGCGTCGCTACTAAATCCTAGTACAAGCCAAATAATGACACAAGAGCAGCAAGTAAACGATAGCCGTATTCGAATCATGTTCGATCACTCTGTTCTCATTTCTCAGGCACATGCCATCTCGCCTGTACTACTTGCTTTTCCAGTACCATTTGCTGTCATTACTCATTACCCTCAATCGACAAACCTACCGGTCCCGATCTGCAGGAGGAAAAAGTGAAGCGGTTTGCACGTGCTTCTGAAGTGCTAGTTACATCACGCTGACATGCAAATGCAGTTCGCGACATGTGTAGAGGTTCTGCTGCTGCAATCAAGGGCAGTCCACAGGCCCAACCCTTTCGCGGTTTCGCCCCCACAGAAAGTGATAGCAAACAGGCTCCTATGGATCCTGTACAATAAGTCGCATGGACCTGCCAACCTATTGTTCCTGGTTCTTGAGTTCATGATCAATAAGGCGCAGCTTCAGATTGTTCTCCTCATTGAGGAGAGAGAGCTTCTCAAGCGAAGATTTCAGCAGTGACATCTGGGATTCTGAGATATGGCTCCGTCCAGCCTTTGGTGCCTGCCATGGTGTCACTCCTGTGCTAGCTGCACCGCCCATGGATTGCTGAGCAAACCGTTTCATCCTAGCACTCAGGGCGGCAATGGAAGAGCGCAAAGCATCCAACTCCACATCTGCAAACCTATCTGCAAAAGGTTTTAGCAGATACAAATTCAGTTAGCACATGAAACTGCAAGGTGAAGAATGCGAAATCAGATAACACATAAACGGACCAAGCTGTGCCTTGAACTCCTGCTCTGCCTGGGATAATGGTTTCTTGTTTGCAGCAGGAAGCATCTTGAAGCTATCTATTCGCTTCTCCAACAGTTCATACACCTTGAAGGCCCGATCTATCCTCTTGTTAATGTCTCCGTCTTTGGCTTCTATGGATATAAGTGATTTCTTCACTGCTTCTAAGCGTTTCTGTTTGTCTTCCATTTCTGTCTTTAAATAGTCCGCATGCTCCTTGAGTTCAATGAAAACCTAATTATCAATAAATTAACCTCTTGATCAGCGTGTTTTCCTTTCATCCCTTCATTTATTATTACTGGATCAGTAATGACGCATTTATATTATGGTGTACAGAATCAAGTGATTTCAGTTGTCCACCAAACTTTGGCCAATAATTCCAGATAACATGTTTTACAGCCTTGAAAAAAATTGCAAAAACGATAATGGTTGAATACAAAAATATCATTGTAGCAATTTCTTACCTTGTGCCCGTACTCCACATAGTACTCATGGAAGACCTTAATATAGTGATGAAGCGTGGATTTTCCTTCAATAGAGTCAGGGGTCAACGATTTCAAGCTTGATGAAGATGGAAGTATGGGTGGGTCTGGACCAGCAATAAGCTCTTTGCTGATCATTCCAGTTGCAGGAGGCTCCACATCCTTGGTGCTTTTGCTTTCTATGTCTAGCTGAAGAGGTGTTGGTTCCTTCCAACCCTTCATCTCCACCACAAAGCACTCACCCAAGCATGTGATGCCAACTAACTGTACATGACCATATGCATCAGCTATGGTAACAAATCCAGAAAGAAAAGGAGAACTTGTTTCGCTGTTGCCTGTAGTGAGGACAGGATGCACAGAGGGTGGTGTCGAAGACATTTCGGGGTATGAAAAAGGTAGGAAGTGCAGTGTGACCATGTCAAGCCCCCCACCATGCGCACAATAAAATCTCTCTGGAACAAGGGGGTCAGGAAACAATGACAGAGAGTTATCATTAGGAGTTTTTGGTAGTGCCAAATCCACAATTGCGAGCCTTAGCAAAGGAGGAGAGTTCCCCATCCAAACAGCTTCTATGTTGCTCTTCACGTTTGATCCTGTACTAGATGGTCGATGTGATCTCAAAGCCAATGGATCTTGTGAATTGGAGTCACATATCATGGCCACACTCTTTATTTGTCCATGTGAATCGACATTAAGGCGAGAAGGAACCCCAATGTTCCACTGCGGTTGAATTTCATCTGCAAGAGCATCAATCTGGAGCTGCCCACTACCCCAGGCAGTCACAAGAACTGAATCTTTGCCAGCAGAACTGTACATAAAACCTACAGCTTTTCCTTCGCAACTGCTGTTCTTGCCTTCAGATTCATTACTTTCCTCACAAACTCTACAAAGAGGCCCCTGCATAGGTTCTCAACCAGATCAACATAGATCGTGATTCATGAGCTTCACGTTAAAAGCAAAGAACACAAGTTATACACAATACGATGTTCAAATTTGGAATGCCAAATCTAAACGAATGAACACTTTTTGAGTAGTTTTTCAGTTCCATGATATTTAAAAACTTTCCTTTTAATAAAAACTGTAAATTCCATATATGTTTTTAACTATTAAGATACACCAATGAGAAAAATAAATGGCAATCAAAGAAACTTCAGGTTTACAATAGATCGATTTATAGATGTTAGACCTATTGAAAGTAAGGTGACCTTCTAATATTTGAGTTCGGTTATCCATAAATACTGTGAACCTCCAAAAGTGTAGATTTTTATATACCCAAACTGGTAGAGATTATATCCTCTTTTTACACAAAATGAAGTGTCATCTATAATTTGGGAACATAGCCATCCCCTTCTTTCCTTTAAAAAGTATTGACTTGATGTCAATGCACAAATAGATGCAATAATGTAGTATGAGGACATGTTACAAAGCTAACCATCCCACACCCCAACATTTGATAAAACTAGCTAAAATTAAAGGTGAGAAACACCAGCCCATACTCCAAAATAAACTATGAATTTCTTCACCATTTTCAATACTGATCCATTGGAAAATTATCTTGTTACCCAACACACAGTCTATCAGTTATTGATGCATAGCACACAGTCTCTCAGACAAATATCTCATAAAATCAATGTAGAAGAAGACCTGTAATGTTAGAGAATCATCTACTGGCGCATATGCATGAGCTTTTGACGTCAGAAAACTGGTATCTGTTGATTGATGTAACAGGTCAGGAAATGTTGCCTCCAACCAAGCTATGGCCAAATGTGAATTAGTGACAACATTTGGATTTGAAGATTTCAATCCAAATGCATTAACATCTTCATATATCTCTTGAATATGTTTCTTGCTATAGTCACTGCATCATGAAAAAGAAATTTCAAAATTAAAAACCAACCCACAGGCCACAGATAAAAGAGAATGTATATTACGGATTTAAGAATACTGAGACATTTCCATATCATTGCCTAATAAATGCACCATATTTGCCTTTTACAAAAGAAAATTAGCTCAACAATTTGTAGCTTCAACAATGCCAGGCATTATAGAACATCATAAGAATTCAACAAATAAAACAGAAAAACGCCATATTACCTTCCAAATGGAACAACAGGACAGAGCACAAAAATTGAACCATCACTGAATAAGATGAAAACCTGCATAAAAGATGGGTTTGCATGTGAATTGTGAAATCAAGCAGACGAACCATCCAACACAAAACTAAATGATAGCTATAAAGAGTACGCATGTCCAAATGGTAACTTCAAACCAAACCTGATACACGGCAATCATGTCATGTATTTGTGTAACTCTACTATGACTTACAGTGCGGGCATAGATTCACGCAAAAAAGAAAAAAAATACATGCACCATCTAAACACACAAACAAACAAACAAAAAACAGCATGACATTCCCATGTTCATTTTACAAAGATGTCACAATGCAAATCGTGTAGATTAATATTGTAAAAACCTTAAGACTTAAAAAAATGTCACAAGTAAATTGACCTAAGGATGGTGTGAACAAGGCCACTATCTACTTGAAGTAGGAACTAACTTTGTTATAATCTTCATTAGTAGTTACCATAATAATCCAGGAATGTGAAATCAACTCTATTTTTTCTCCTTGGCACCTAACATAAGTTATCAACGCTCCTGGTAAGTATTTTTTTCTAAAGGACTTCTATAAGATCTTGATATGCTTATTTATGTGAATTGTGACATACCGAAAATCTATCCCATAGATGATCACTCCCATAAGAGAAAGCCACTGGACAAATCGCTGAAGCATTTTGACATTTCCCAGGTAGAATTGGCTGCAAATAAAATTCCTGTTCTGGCTGTTCTAAATCGGATGAGAGATCAAATAACCTGCAGAATGGTTTTTTGATTTTCAATAAAAGGGTTATTCAGAAAAATATAAGAAAACGGGTGAGACACACTTCTTATTTTTCTCAGTCACACCAACTATAAACTGGACAAATGAGGTTATATGGCACTCATCCATGTAGCATACCTGAAAACAGCATCTGATGTCAAAACTGCAAAATGGTTGTTGCTAAAGGGATGCCAAGATGCCTGGAGAACTTTTATGCCATCACTGTCATTGGGTAGGATCTGAGAAGCAACCGGTGCAGTCCTGTTGTGAATTTCATATGTACAAGTCAAATGTAGCAAAGAGATAGCTAAACAGCTCATTAACCTATAGGGCAGAAGATCGCAAGTTTTTTAGCACAATCTTCAAATAATCAATAATCTAGTGCATGACCAATGGAATGTAGGGGACACAAGTTTTCCATTGATTTTAGTTCTGTAACTTACATAACCACAACAGTTATTAGGAAATGAAGTAAAAAGAGAATGCTGTCAGCATGTGATAAAATCATAATGGAGCAACACACCTGTATATGATTATATCCCCATCTTCAGACACCCTCTCATGTACATACAGGACACTTAAGTTATGAGATCCAACAAGTAGCAGTGATGAACCGTCAGCGTTAAGTGATATGTGTGTGGCCGTATAACCAAGATCAGACTCTGGTGTCAACAGCTGTATAGCAAAAGCAACATATCGGAATGAGATAACATGGAATATGATCTCAATAACAAAACGATGCATAATTATGAAAGAATTTCATGTACAAAACTGAGGTCAGATGGGGCAATAGTGCTAAGATAATTCAAATGGGTAGACAGAAGAATTGCATTAAACGCGACGAATTTCAGCTACCATGAGGAATATCACAAATACACCAGCACAAGGAGGGAATATGAGAAATTTCTTTGCAAAAGTAATAAGGATGGGGATGGATGCTGCATCCTTGTTGGAGTCAAATCACTATAAGTAGTGCAAGTTTCATGTGTAAACTTCAATACTTCATGTTGCATACATACTACTACTGTACAGTGCTACGGGCTGTCTGGCAGAGCTCCAGCTCCAAGATCCATGCAGGATTTGGAGTTTGTATGATAGATAAAAGTGGTCTCGTTTCAAAAAAAAAAAAAAGATAGATAAAAGTGGTCCAAACTTCTGTATTTAATCCAAAGCAACAGAATGGCTCAACTAAAAGCCCTCCGTAGTCTGCCCAAGGCTCCAGCTCCAAGACTTTCTGGAGCTAGGAATGACCAGCTACAAATATTCTTGGAGCATACCAAACAGGCCCACTAGTTATCCTTTTACTGAATGACACTAGTTATCCAGTTATTGAACTAGCACAATGACCTAGTTGAAACTTAGTGTTGTTGCTGTTTTTATGACGCACTCAACATGATTGGAAGAGGGGAAAAGGCCCTTAAAGCCATATGGTAACAGAGATAGGAAGGTAGTCCTGCCTCTTCCATTCTTCCCCATCTTGCCATGTATGATGCTGAAAACAAGCTTCCCATTTCTACAAATTCGAAAGTACAAGCTACCACATAAGATAATATAGAGCAAAAAAGTAATGTCTGAATTATAATACCCCTCAGAACACTAAAAAACCCAACATGCTATCAAACTGGATATCGATGTGGCAATGAATTGCGTATTAAGCTCGTCCTAGGTCGAACCCTCAAGCATACGTCCCTATCGATCGAACACGGGGAGGACAGATGCTATAGCACTTCATGGCAGTATGGCACTAGCAGCAAAACGCAAAAACAACGGGGAAACACCTCACCTCGGAAGGCACGGCGGCTTCCACGGCGACATCCACCTCACCATTCTCCGCGTCTGGGTCCCTAGTCCGCACGCCAATCCGGTGGGCGCCGCACGCTGAAGGATCCCACGCGTACAGCCGCGACGCTGCGGCGTCCCACGCGGCAGCGCCGCCGCCGCCGCTGTCGCGTCGGGAGAAGACAGGGTGAGAGTTCAGAGGCACCCACTGCGCCGGAGAGTAGGCCCGCTTCGGAGTGGGCCGCAGCTTCGTCCTCGAGGAGGTGGAAGCGGAGGAGGGGGTGAGAGCGAGGGATGGGGAGGGCGAGTGGCGTCCGCGGCGGCGAGAAGGCGGGGTTGCCGGCGCTGGGGAGTGGCGGATGGGTTGCGGGGACCCCGGGGGCGAGGACGGCGGCGGCGGCGCGGTGATGCGAGTCATCGGCGGCGACGAGGACGACGAGTGTAGTGGGAACGGTCGGGAGCAGGTTATTTGGGATGGAGTTACAGTTTTGATTGGATTGAGATTATCAAAAATGGGCCACACGTCACAATCCAACAAACCCAGCTGTGTCATAGGCCCATCTATAAAACCCAAAACGACACATCAAGGGCCCATTTAGAAATTGGCCCAAATATAATTGCACAGTACAAGGATACAATATATAGCAGCCTAGTAAAAATAAAAATAGAAACAAGAAAAAGGGCAAAGCAGCTGCTGTGAACATTTCTGAATGGTTTCTCTAGTTCTCTGCCTGCCTATCTCTGGTCTCTGGACATGTGTAGTTACTCAAAGGGTTCATATAGCAGGTTGCACAGGACAGCAAAACGTGGAGCCAAAACCTCTGGCGTACCTCCGTCACATGGATGGCATGGTCACAACGTCTGAATCCATGTGTGTGTTCATGAGTCGATGCAGCGGCGAACGAAGTGCAGATCTGTGAGATGATTCATCCGTCTTGGTTGTTCAGTCAGTCTGAAGTGGTGATTCTGATAGCATATCGTGTGAAGCCCGGTTGTACACAGATTTTTCATATCTGAAGCTTAGGCTACAGGGTTTAGGCATCCCTACGACAGCAAGATGCAGAAAACATGAGCTAGGATCTTGTCACATGAATGATATCAGTGTTAGGCGACGTGTTCTTGTCACCTTGTGGCTTGTGCTTCTTTTCTATCTTGGAAGTCGTTGGTATCGAAAATAAAACAAAGCAACTATGGAAACTGCGGTCGTAATCAATACTTCTGTTCTATTTGCAGAGACATAGCAGTCATACCATACCAAACATGTTCTGAAACCTTTGATACCCTCTCAGAATCTCACATGATTAGTATCGGGATCAAGCCTTCTTCTTCTTATTCCTTTTCACACATGAAACTTGGGCACAAAAAGTGTTATAGGATTTAGGTCATGTGCATCCCATATCTTCTTTCTTTGGTAGAACCATGTGTGCCTTCGTTTGTAATCTCTCCCTCTTCAGTTGTCGATCTTCGTTCTGCAAGCGGCAACTCAGACACACATACCCCCGGCACGAGCTGGAAGCAAAACACGAGCAAAATCCTTCTCCATATCTCACCACGTGCAAATGAATGACAACAGCTTTGCATAAGCTTCTGATGCTTCTGTTTTATCGACAGTTGCAAACAGCTGCACATGAACAAGATCTCCCTGGCCATGCATCCGTAGGGCAGAGCAAGTAATGCGAGTTGTATGTTGCCTTCATATCGAGGTGCCTTATCACATGCGCCTGCATGGCAACATCATTTCGTTCACGCTCTGATGTTTGCAGTTTGCTGAACATGAAACCATTCCAATCCGACGTATGGTTTCAGACTTTCAGCTGAATAACTGTCAGTAGGCCAGGAGCACTGACTGAGCAGGGTGGTTGTTTGTTGCTGTTATCTTGCTGTGGTCCACCCTTTGTTTGCAATGTCACGCTACAACAAGAAACTTCTTTTCAGACAGACGAAACATGACGATCATTTGCCTGACAATTGAAGATGGTGATCCGCCGTTCTTTCTTCTTGACTTGAATTAATTGTCAACAGCTGCAGAAACAACCAAACGCTCGGTCTAACTTTCTAGCTTTGAATTTCTTCAGAATTCAAACATGTACTGATATTCCTTCCAAAAAAGAATCTTATACTGATAAGTGAAGATGCAAAGTTGACTCAAGCTTCCTTCGTGGTCCATTCAGTAATACTTCTTTAGCTCCACGATAAACCATATGGCAGCAAATTATTGCTTCCTTTACTTTCATTCCAGCTCCAACTCTGTTTGATTTTTTTGCAACCGTGACAGTGAAAAGAACAGGACGTCTATTTCACAACGTCAATTACGTCTCACAATTCAAACTTAGTTTTCACATTTCATACTTCTCCCTGCACAAGAAAACGGAGACACTTTCTCATCATCTTTGTTGTGCCTGCCGAGCAATGCTGTTCTTATTTCCCTATCATCAGCAATATTATTCAGGCAGCGACAGCTAGAGCAGATAACTCAGTACTACTATCCTACTGTCTACGATTGCATAGTAGGCCGGCCCGGCCGGTTCTCCTCATCGACAGTCGCGTGAATCCCACATGCGGCGACCCGACTGCCGAAAAACAAGCAGCGGCAGCCGGCAACCACTGGTAGTTTGCGGATGGATGCAATGTGTGTGCTGCCCTACACTGCGCGCCTTGGTAAATGCGATTCAATGGATCCGTGGGATCCAACGCAGACGCAATGCATATGCAAGTACTGGAGCCGCACCTGCAGGTACGTCCTTGCAGGTACCTGGGCAATGGCTGGCGACCCATCCATGGCCATAATAAAACAAGTCCGCCTGCCCCCCAACCTCGGGGAACGCTCTCCGTTGCTTGCTTGGCACTTCGCAACGTGCCGAGCACATGCTCGCCGGCGCTCACATGGCCCGTTCTTGCAGTTTCGAAAGGCTCATGGGGATCGGCATGAAATCCAACTAGTTTTTACTTTTCTTTCTCAGATGTGTAACGGTCCAAGATGGCGGTGGTTCAAGAACCGGGTAGAGGAAATTCACAGTGCGATTAAGGCCCCGTTTGGCAGGGCTTCTCCAGTGCTTCGGGGAGCCGTTTGGCCGTTTTCTGTCAAACGGGTAAAATGAAACAACTCCAATTCACAGTGCGATTAAGTTACAAATCTGAATGGTTCAGAAATCTTTGACAGCTTCACCTTTCAGTCTTGACAAATGATAGATAATTGACCCGGCACAAGTAATTGCTTTCAGAGGCGAAATCCTCTTGCTCATTGAGAAGCATGTGCGAAGAATTTGCGGCAAGTTTTTGACAAACGGCTCATTTGTTCACAATTTCGTATAACATATGCACTGGATGATTGAGTTGGACTGAAGCTTTCAAAATATAGAAGCTGCATAATTGGGTTGGACTTCAGGGGATCGCGGCATCTATGCTCCTCGGGGCGAACGACCTATCATTTGAAGCTGGAGTACTTTTCTTGTAGTAACATAGAGATCTCTTCATAATTTGAAGGACTAATTTTCTCGCCACATTTAATGGAAAAAAGACTAGTAAAGATGACAGATGAAATCATTGGGCCGTTCCTTTTCATTGACAAAAAGGACCGTCGCTTTTCCTTTGGGTTCAAGCCAACGAGAAAGGAGGAAAACAGCGAACAAAAACAAAACATTGACCTGAAAAGGTGCAGAATTAGCACAGAACTCTCAAGGATAAGTAGGAATAGACCATTAGATAACTAGTATCACCACTAAGAAAAGGAGAAAATAAAACAGCAAAATGAAACAAAAGAAGGTCAAAGAAACATCAAACTCAGATCTCCTGAGTGTTCTAGAGAAAGAAAAAACCATCATACTTTGACAAGAGTGATTTTTCTCAGATCTCTTGTGCTTACAAAGTTTTTTTTTCCATTTCAAAGTGAAGATATTGTGCCAATCATCTTGAGATAATTTCTTATCCACCATTCCTTGGTTGCCAATGGAAAAGTTCACATATCTTATATGCCACAATTTTCTTTCTCCTCTATGCCAATGCCACTGACGTCAAATTGTATAGATGACAATGGTACACAAGGGATGGAAAGAATTAAGCTTTGTCATCCCTATGTGCTATTGGAATTAAGTCGCGACAGTGGCATATAAGGGAGCATGAGTAAGAACTTTTCTAGCAGCAAATGGATGAATTCAATCTTTTCAAGAATTTCTTTAGAAATAGATTGAAATCCTGAAAAACAAATATGCATTCATCAGGAATATGGAGATTGAATAGGTTTAGTAGAGAGGAGATGAAATCTCATGCAACCTCGGTGTTCATACCCTTCTCAGAAAACATACTAGTTGTGTCATGGTTTCATGGGAACATGTACACATCAGTTGTCAGCACAAATGCTTCAGGAATTCAAAAGCTGCGTTTCTACATCAAACAACTTGCTGCCAATTTGCAGCATACCAGTATCAGAGCTATTGATCATTTCTCCGCTCAGGTAAGTCTTGACTGATGCATATCTCATACTTTGCCTTCATGTGAAGTACAGTAGTCAAAAGCTCTCATCCGAACAAAAAACAGCAACAATCGGTTATCACTTTAAACAACAATTGATATTCCAGAGTCCATCAAACTATGCACAAATTAATTTTAAAGTAGCAACCATTTCATTACAATATCAGTACTACATAAATGTACTGATGAAGTACATAATATACATTATATTTTATAGTATGCCAACTAGTCAAGATTTTTTATAAACAACCAGTGATGTACTACATAAAGATAGAATAGCAATTACTGCAGATCAAGGATGACAAAGTACAAACGGAAAGGGAAAAAAAATCGAATCTTTCAGCAGTTAGAGGTAGCTCCTCCTCATTGCCTTTCATAGAACACAGAAAACCCTTCGTTTCCACATCAATTTTTCCATAATTCGTTGCATCCATGAGGTCTGCATTATCCAGTCCAGATCAGCTCAGTTCAGCAGAAATAAAAATCAGGCAGTAATTCTAATCCGCGGGGGGAGATACTATCGACTCATCCCTCACCACACCACGTTACAAAGAACAAGGGAAAAAAGAGGAAGAAAATATTCGTTTTTGTTTTGCTCCACCTATCTGCAGAGCGGGTTGTTGGGCGTGCCAAGTCCGACCTCGTCGGCGGCGTACTCGACGCTGCAGTAACACAAGGCGGCATCCTTCTTGTTCTTCTCGACGGCCTTGAGGATGGACTCGAAGACGGGGACCTCGCAGGGGATGCGGAGCACGCCCTCCTGCTGGAAGCCGAACTCCTCCTCGGCCTCCCGCAGCAGCGCCGCGAAGGCGCGGTGCTTCAGGTACTCCATCGGGATCACGAACCTCTGCATCGCGGGGCCCACGCACACGGCGAGGTGGCCCTTGGGCGGGCCGTCCGTGAAGGAAAGCGTCCGCTTCAGGAACTTCTTGGCCTTGCTCTCGCCGGCAT